AACATCTTCAAGACTACACCTATTTAAGTTTTCAATGCTAGTCAGTACTCTTAGAACTACTTTATTTTTAACAGAAAATTTACTAAAGCTTTTATGTCCTACATATACTAACCTAGTTTTATACAACACACTATAGTTATCTAATACTTGCAGTTATAAGAGTTATTTGTTTAATCACTACATTATATTATTTCTACTCTTGTAAAATTCACTAAAATCCTAGTACCTATCTTCTTGACATTTTTTTTATTATTCTCTACTAGCTACAACTTGGAACTGGCAATCTCTTCCAGACTACCAATCCAGATAGCTTGATAATAAATAATTTTATTAGAAACTATGCAAATATATATACATAATACAAGACTTTATTTTTTTTTTTTAAATATTAGTGGTAAGGAATACAAAACTTTATTTTATTTCTACTAAACAATACTATTTATAAATATATAATTAGCAATTAGCTAGCAATTAACATTATAATAAAATTTTTAATTCAACTATTCTGAAATATATACAACTAAATTTAGAAGCTTTACTGTATCAAACTATCTAAATAGAAGTAATAAACTAATATTTCTAACCAATTAACTTGTAATTAACTAACAAACTATACAAACATATCTAACAAGTTAAAATAGTATACATCTACAGTTGTATTTGTAATCTTTTTGACTAACAATATACAAAAGATTTTTATAATTTTTACATCTGTCTACTACAAGATAAAGCTAATAAAAAACTAACTAAATAGTTATCTAAATAGATAAACTACAATACCTCTACTAATTATATTTTATATTATTAAATCTAAATAAGTTTTAACTACTCTAGTAGATTTGGATTGCAAATAATTAAATAAATTAAATAATAATTTTATCTATAGTCTGAGTTTTATTCTTGTAAAAAAGTTGTAAATTGGTTTTAGTTTGTATCAACTTATATAGTTGTTTATAATAAATTATTAATAAAAATAAAAGCAAAATCTTATCTTAATATTAAAAAAAAAATACATCTAAGTTTGAATTAAATTTGATATAATTTGATATTTTTATTAAACTTAAACTAAAAATTTTATAAATTTTAAACTTAAAACTAATTATAAATTTAGGTTAAGTTTAGGTTTAAAGTTTGTAAATTAAATATATATATGCATTATTAAATATTAAATAAGTTATTTAAAATATAATTGTCTGGAGCGTAGCAGAGAATGCTCAATTTCTATGCAAAGTGATACAAAAGTTACGTTTATGATGCACCAAAAGGTTCATTATTGATGCATTAATAATAAAAATATCAAAAACATAACTTTGAATTTTCCGTCTGTCTCACTTGCATATTTGTGTAACACAACAAATCTCATGTGATTTCACTCCGGACTTATAATGGTTTCCGTTTTCTAGTATTATGTTATATTAGTAAAATATTTAAATAATATAAATTTTTTATATTTTATTAATTAAAAATATAAAAAGATTAAATAATACTTTATATTAGTTTACAAATAAATTAACAATATTTATAATATATTTTTAATTTTTTTAAAAAATTATAAATTTATAAATTAAGTTTTTAGACATATCTGTTTAGCTATTAATACAAATAATAGTATTAATAAAGGTTATTATAAAGATTAATTTTTTTTAAAAATAGTTAAAGAACATTTTTGTTAATACATGTTTGTAATATTACTAGAAAAAATTGATAACTAGAAATTGGTTTATTAAAAAAATTTTTGAAATATAGATTTTTAATAAAATTAAAAAAAATATTATAAATAAGAATATTTAAAAGCTTTAAATAAAGTTTTTTAGATTATATAAAAGCATAAGTTTTATATATTAATTTTTTTTTTAGTATTAAGATGACCTCTTTGATCTTTTAATTTTGTTAATTATTTTTTTAATAATATGATTCTATAAACCACTACAAGAGGAGTATACAATTAGTTACATTGTAGCTTTTTTATATTATCTATTTAAGAAGTCTACCTAAAGGTTTTTTACCAATTGTTATACTTGACAGTTCTGCTTAAGTATTTTATTTTAAATCTTTTGAACTTGTAATCTGTATTAATATTACTGAATTATGTTTAAGTTAACATCTCAATTTTTTTTTTATAATACAAACTTGTAAATTGTTTTTATTAATTTTTATGCTGTTATTATAATTTTATATTTCTATTTGTATTACTATATTACTACTAGTTATAGTTACTCAATATAATATTATATCTACACTTTTCTATTTTATTATTAGAATTACAATATTCCAATTATTATTACTAATTAAGGTAAGGCTGTAACTATCTTGTTATACTATATTCTTTAATTTTACCTAATTTTTTTAAATTCTTTTATTTACTTTTTGCAGTAATTCTTCTCTTTTTCTAAATTGATTGACTCTGACAGTTTTTGCTCCTTTTGCTACTAATTTGGTATATACAGCTCTTTATATATTAGTACTAATTGACATGACTGAATTTATTGAGAATCTGGATTATCATCTGTAGTTATCATATACTCTTTTTTGTATACTTCTATTAATAGTTTGATCCACTTTGGTGTTACAAAAAGGTCTAAAATCTTGATTTATTGTATATAAATATAATGACTATTAATGATATTATGAAGTATGAATATTAATCCTGTTTTCCTTAAAGTTTATAATGTCTGTCAAAAGTATTTCAATTTTAATTAGACCAATCCTTTGTCACAAATCTTTTTTGCATGCCTCACTTTACTTACTATTCTAATTTTAGTTATATTAGTATTATTCTCTTAATCAAATATACTGCAAGTTGGATGCAGTAATGTTGGTGCTATCTCATCTTCTAGAAAATTTATCTGTGCAATATTTTATGTAATAGAACCTTCTGTGATGCTGCTATTACATATAATGCTTTTTCTTTGCAGTCAATCTCCTTTCAGAAATCTCTAATTTGTTTTTGTATTTTATCTTGAAACTTATCATAGAACTTTACATCTAATTTGGCTCTGTATTAGGTTACAAACTTAAAATCTTTAGATTTTTATCTACAAACTAATTTGAATTGTTGACCTCATCTGTGAGGAGTTAGCAGCTTAATAATTAAACTATAAAATTCAATTCTCATCATCTTAATCTTAAAATTATTTTATTCTTAAAGTAAATCTTCTAAAAATTTTTGTATTTATTTTTATAACTAATTTAGTATTATTATAGCAGAACTAACACTTGAAATTAGAGTTTTATTTTTAATCACTATGCTTTTGTAAAGTTTACTTAAATCCTAGCATCTACTTTATAGTATATCTCTAATATTTTAGTATATCTCTGTCTATTCTTCAAACTTCTAATTCAATTAGTCTATATAGAACTATAACCAGTTTATTGATATATTAGATTGATACAATTTTCTTTTTTTCTAGTTCATTTTAGTAGTTTAGTTATAGTATTTCTTATCTAAAAGGTTTTGTCTATCTGGATATTTTAAAATTAGTAACTGTTTTTAGTAGTTTAGTTTTTACAATAATGCTATTAAAGATCTGTACTATTTCTTTACTTAGATCTTTCCAAATAAACTTTTTGTTTTCTAATTTCAATGAATTTATACAGCTACAAGAACTTATTTAAAGTTTGCATTATCTGATACTAGTTTGCATTTCTTTGTAGAATATTATATTTATATAGATGCTTTATAATTTGTTAGTCATACTAGTGTAATTGCTATTACAGATATCTTAACTTAATTATTAGAAACAGTTGTCACAATATGAATATTATATAGTTAATTATTTAAAATTTTACTGTTAATAAAAGTTGAACATCTAATTTACTACTTGAAGGTTGATAACTTATTTACTTTACTAAGTTGCCACATTTTTATATATCAATTTAAAATAGTTTCTTGTTTTAAAGATTATATAAATAATTTAGTAATATTAGTTTCAATAATTTTAACTAATTTTTCTAAATTAGATTTGTTTATTTATAAGTAAAAAGTAATTCATTAGAAGTTTTTGAAGATAACTAGTTTGCTTAAAAATTAATCATCTATTGCATTAAAAGCATATTAGTAAAGCTTTTTAGATTTGCTTTTTTGTTTAAATAAACAATATTTGTATTTAAAAATTTATCTATTATCTTTTTTTTTGTTACAAAATATTTATTTTAACTTTTTTTTTTTTTCTCTTTTTGCTTTCTTATTTCATGATTTCTATATTATTTTATATAATATCATATTTCACTGCTTTTTTATTTCTTTTTATTTTTTCTTATTTTTTTTTTTGTACTAATATATTTTGACTTTCTTTTTATTTACATATTTTACAATATCTTTTTTGTCAAACTATTTTATAAAATTCATTTCATATAATACTTGTAATGTCTACTATAAAATTTTGTTTCTTTGAAGATTTTATACTTTTTTTACTATTTTTTCTTAAACAAATTCTTTGATAAGTTTTTTTTCTTATTTTTATTTTTTTTTTATTTAATCAATTTTAAATTTTTTTTTAAAATAGTTTTAATGATGTTTTTCTTTATATCTTCTAATAGTAAATTCTATGCTATCTTTGTTTGCAAATTTTTATAACCTAAACATTACTAAATTAAAATTTTTTTTTCTTTAAACAGTCATGCTAGTACTTTATTATGAATTTGAAATTACATTTGCAATTACATAAATATCTCTAACAACTAAATCTAACATTACCTGACCACATTAATGATACCTAAGTGCAACTTGTTGCATTACTTCAAGCAAAAGTAAGCTGCTTGTCTAACTTCTTAAAGTTCTAAAAATGTAAATATGTTCTGCAATTTGCATCTGAGACGAAAATGGTAAGCCAAAATGAAATTGCGATCTGGGCTAACCCAATTGACAATCGGGCCGATTTGCATACATATACACTTCAGTTATATAACGTTATAAATAATTATATTATTACTTTTATTATGTAAACAGAAAAGGTTTAGAATACAATACACTGATACAATTTAATTTAAAAATTACTCCATTAAGTTTTCTGGACAGAATGCCCACGTCTAATCTCTTGTAAACTTTGTTCTCTTAAGGGTGTATCTGCAAATAATGCACATATAAGACCATCCAATTCATTACTAGTGAAACAGTTTAGCTCAGCAGAGCGGAATTTGTCCATAATGTTTGCTAAAGAAAATTTAAGTATATCGGTTATATAATGGAATTTCTTCCAGCTTTTAACATGATTCTCGATTTTATTTAACTATCAATGGTGAAAAAAATGTTAATAATATGCTTTTAATTTAGAGTTAAAAAAAAAAATTAAAATATCCAATTTACCCCATTCTTGCTAAATATTTCTTCCAACGGAAAAAGCATTGAATATATTGAATATAATTGATGTGATTCTTCTTCAGAAATATCGTATAGATCCTCTAGATTCTCGATCATAATAGTTAATACTGAATTTATCAAAGTGCCTAATATAATGTAATATTCTGAAGGTCGTAACACATCCTGAATGTAGAATAATAATGTAATTTAAATCAAATAGAATTAACTAATACAGTCTACCCTCGTTTATATCAGCCCATTTGGATTGGTTTTAAATTATGTTGATAGTGAAGCTATAAAAATTACGTGATCTAATCCATATACGATCAAAAAGTTGTTACAATCCGGTTTAAAATTTTGATATTAACGAAAGGTTATATTAAAGTTGATATATATGAGGGAAGTTTGATATATAAAAATTTATAAAAATTTGATTTATGGCTTCGGCTGATATTAATGAGGTTGATATTAACAAGGGTTGACTGTATACACAATTTAAAATTAAAATTAAGTGATAATAGATGGAAAGGTGCTAACCTTCCAAATTTTTGATAGATTCTTTATGGTAGATACCACTTTGTTCATCGCTTGTTGACAAATTTCAAATCGTTCTTCATTTGCTGTTAATTGCACTCCATCCATTTCATCCAAAATTTCTTTAAGAACAGATTTTTGTTTTTCCTTGTGATAATAATAAATTGAATCATATAACTATTCTAAAAAAGGTAAAACTTAATTTAATACAATTTATACTTACCAGTTGAATGTTATACCATTCATCTCCTAAATCGCGCAATTTTTTTGCCATGTCATTATATAATATTTTAGATCCAACATCCCCTGACTCATCGTGTTCTTGTGGCAATAAGCTATTTATAAATTGATCTTGAATAATTATGAGTTGATCCGCTAGCCAAATGCAATCGTTACGAAACAACATAGCCAAGTTGGGTAAATTGGTAAAATTGTTCAAATGATACACCGGTATAACAGCTCGATACAGATCAAAGAGATCAAGTGTTGCTTGATACAAGCGCATTCCACTATTTATAATTTTTTTAAAGGGTTAAACAAGAATAAGGCATAGCAGGTTAGGAATATGGTATACAAGTTAAAGGCTACCTCTTTGCATTTAAGTTTCGTGCTTCGTTCAAAGTATTTATTGTCAGGTCTATTAGTGATTTAGATTTGACTGAAATAGAGTATCTTTCTGGTTCATATATCATCTCTGAATCATGGGAATTGGTTTCCCTGGTTAACTCGGTTTGTTTATTGGCGCTATTCCAATCATCATCATTATCATTATCATCATTCCAGGCTTCGTTCCAGTCAACCTCCCATCCTTCATTAGGATTATCATCTTGTATGGAATTAATAATTTCATCATGATTTTGTTGAATTACTTCCGAATTGTTTTTTATTGAATTATTTTCAACTGAATTATCATTGATCTTTTTGTCATTGCTTTCATTAGTATCATTAGCATCCTCAGTAATTATTAAGCTATCAAATATACTATCTAACATGATATTTCGTCCAAATTCCAATAGCCTGTCTCGCTTTTTAATTGTAAAATGAACATCGACTTTTGCTACGTATGCACCTAAAGTTCTTTCTTCATCTTCTTCTCCACTAGTTGATCTCATGAAGCCCATTCTACGCATTTCTGTTTGAAATCGGTTCACAGCATCTGCAACTTGTTCAAAATGTTTGAATTCACTGGTTTCCATTGGAATTGCACGCGTTAAATACTCATTGATCACAACGTCACGGAGATCATGAGAAATAAACTTTCCAAATGTGGAAGAATATTGAGAGGCAAATGGAGATATCACAGTCTCCTTCTTTACAGGATCAAGACCTCCAAATATAAACGTATATATGAATCGAAAGACGACAATCAGAGGTGTAAACACTCCATCTGAGGAATTGTTGAGAAATATTAATTAATAAAAACGAGAGTAAAACAAATAATAGCAAAAACCAAAATTTACCTTGATCTTCAACTATATTTGGATCATCCAAATTTGGACCAATATACAACGTAGACTTGACATCGTCATCAACCTTGACCGACGCTCTAAATGATTCACGATTTTTCAATAATGGAATAATAAGGTATTTCATTACATTTTTTTTCAGCTTTGATAATTGCATGTTAATAGAGCCAATTTCCGAGAGGGAAGTGAAGACAGAAGTCAAGAGAGTTGGTGAATCTGAATCTAACCCGAGCGAAATATATATATGTTTGTAAACAAGAGGATGTATTCAAATATAATAATTGAAACGAAATGGGTATGACTGACTTTGTACGGAAGACAAGATTGTAAGGCTAACTCCACCGGTATCATCTTCACCAAGTTTTTGAAAAGAAATTGACTCAGTTAAAAGATCATCAAGATTTTGATCTAACGTTTCTTTCATGGTTGCCATTTGCTCCTGAATATTAACACAAGGAAAATGTTATATAATGAGTTTTACTTATATATTTTGGAAATCAATTTATAATAGCTACATCTATTTAAAATAGTCTTTTTTTTTTTTTAATATTCGATGCAGTACATACGATTATCCCTAGCGTTATCTTTTGTACATATTATGAGATACCTTATATAATCTTTCAAAAATCTATACTAACCTTTAATTTTTCAAAAACATGGATCTTTTGATCCGTTTGTATAGGTGGAGACACCAACAATCTATCCTAAAGGACAATATTAATAATTAATTTATGGTAAGGTCAACGCGTTGAGAACCCATTTAATGTTGTTGATAATACCATATATGTAATTGAAGCGGCTGCTTCTTCTATTCGACCTTGAATTAGATACTCTTGAAAGCGTTTAGCAGAGTTTTGTACCTTATTTGTAAGGATAACGAACGATTAGATCACTTACATCTTAAAGTTGTATACTAACTTAAAATAGCATAAAATATACCTCAATTAAGTATTCTAAAGTTTCAACCACATATCTAGTATTATAAACTTCCTGCATTATTACACGATTCTCTTGTAATGCCGTGATGAGTTTAGGTTTCATCCCAACCTGTACTTGTGATATTTTCAAAATATCATATTATTAGTTATTCAAGTACGTATATGAATTCTTATCATAATTAAGATACCTCTGAATCATTGATATCCCGTGATACGTTATCGGTTTCTGTGAAAACAGTATCGATTTTATCGCGCAAGGAAATAGATTCGTCATAAAGCTTAGTGAAGGTATCTTGTCGATTAAGGATTATTCTGTATACTTCAGTCTACAAAGAATAAATAAAAATGAAGATACACCATGAAATTGAACTGTAAGTCAATAATCGCAAGTAATTTGAATTATTTATATTAAAGGAGAACCTTAATATCCCGAATTTTGTCATCAATCCTTTGAATGCACGCGAAAATAACCTCCTTCTCGGCGGGGGAGATCAACAGCTTATTTTGCTGAGTTTTGCTAGAATTTGTGGTACGATCATTACTTTCGTCTTCATCTTTTAACACAGCATTTATGAAGGCGATTGGAACCGCGACAAGGTTTATAGGTAAAGGTGGCATATTTACTTCGCCACCGAAGCAAACAAAGTAAACTTGTCATTAAAAAATTGGATCAGTGTACACAAACACCTGATTCTGATCTACGTATATAGTGCATAGATCCACGTGGAAAATTTTTTTTTTTAATGAACCGATTTAAGTCTACATTTCGTATTCTAAAGGTAAAGGATAGTTCGAAAAGCTTGTGTTGTGAATAAAATATACATAAAAATAATAAAATATTTGTAATGAATGTTATTTGGAAATAAATCACTTTTTCAAAGGGAGCGACCGGGCTTGTTGTGGGGTTTGTTGCTTTAAATACGATAAATGTCCCAATAGCATATGCCGAAGAGCAAAAACATCAAAAGGTATTGCAAATAGATTATCTTCCAAAATTCATTATTCTATAGTTTAATATAATTAAATGGAATTGGGATAATTATAATCTAGCTCAAAATCTACGACGATCCAAAACCAGAAATAATAATAGTTAAATCACCTACAAGGTTGGAAGAAGGAATTAGACATACGAGGCTTCAAATTTCGCAAACTATTAGTGATTTAAAAGTATATATTTGATAAATTATCTTTTGTATATTCTTTGTCAATGAGGTTAATGTCATATTATTACTTTATTGTTTCTAATATAGCAACATACCCAAAATGTTACTGATCAATGGATTGGTGTTGAACAAAATACCGAAAGTTTGTATTGGTTACTATTTTTTTTTTTTTTGAACATTGAATTTGACAACCATTTTAATTTTTATAAAAGAGGCAATAAAAGAAGTAATCTCACCAAATGAACGATTGATGCCTGAAGTCTTGTATGTTATAGTCGCAGGATTAGCCGGAAGTATTGCTGCAAGAAACTTTGTTAGAAAGAGTATGTTATATTTTATTTTTTGTATTTTAATTACATATAAGAACTTAACTTTTATAACTTTAAATTAATCTTAGGCAATATACTTGTTCGTATCACTAGTCCTGTGTTATTTACAGTCATATCTTCGTACTACTTCCTTCCACAAACATCTCGTAACATCATGGCTAAAATTTGTGAATATGAAAAACGATCACCTGAACTTATGAAAATTCATAATTCTGTTTCTGACGCGGCGAATAATACTAAACAAAAAATTAATTCCCTCATTAACTTTAAAAGTGATCGAACAGAAGATAGAAAAAAATCATGATAATATCATAAAATGCAAAATTATAAATTTGTATTAACATTGTCTAAGCTGCATGAAAATGAAAAATTTTACAGATGCTTTTTAGGTTGTTTAAACACTTCTCGTAAAGAAATCTCAGTATGTAATGTGTAAACTTAATGCTCTATTAAGAGGAACGAATCATTTCTCTCAATGGCATGCCAGAAAGTCAAAATAGTTAATAGATAAAAAACTTAGTACAAAGCATACTACGTAACCAGAAAGTAGATCGATAATTGGCTTAACGACGGTAATGAATTTAAAAAAATCTTTAAAGCTAATAAAATGGCTAAACAAAACCATTCGACGTATTCATTAACTCACGAGAAATAATCGAGGCTCCAAACTATAGTTTGGGGTGAAATTTAACTGAAAAACTAATTTCACCAAACAATTTCAACAAAAATTTCTTATTAATAATTTCACCCCCATCTGTACTCCGAACAAATTAAAGTTCCTGAAGTTAAATTATAAAGAATATGATTTTGAAGATTATTGGTTTTACGAGAATACTTTTTATTATCAATAAAATTTACATTAGGTCCGGAATGGTCGTGGTCTGGCCGGGCCCCGGCCCAAAAAAAAAAAGCCCGAAATAGCGGGATGGGCTGGGTTTTACTTTACAGCTGTTTCATAAATTCTGGAAAATCAGGCAAAAAGTAATTTGCCGATTCGATAAGTTTAGATTCAGGTGTCAAAAGTTTATCATTGCCAAATTACAGCTATTATCATAATTTCTGAACACCTGAAAATTACAGCTATTATCATTATTCCTTCTGCCGATTCGATAAGTTATTAATTTCGATGTGATCTGTGCATAAAAGCCATCATTATTTTACATATACAGTATTAAATTTATGAATGGTTTTATCATCTGTAGGCAAATTTGCCTGAAAAATATACTTATGATTTATATTTTTTAAATTTTAAAATATTTAAATAAAATTTTGTTTGATAATATTTAAAAATAAGGATTAATATTTAATGTAATATTATAAAAAAAATTTTTAAGTTATTTATAAGTTACAAATAGACAAATATAAAAAAAATTTTAAACAAAAAAATTATTCATTAAATTTTGATGAATTCTTTAAATATTAATTTTAAATTTATAATTTTTAATACAATATAATAGTTTATATAAATTAATATAATTTTTTTAATTTATTCGTAAAAATTTAGACTGGTATTAAGAATAAATTTTTTTTTTAATATTAAAGATGAGTACTTGTAACTTAGATTTTTATTAATAGTATATTTCAGTTTTGTAATTGTATTACATTAGTTACTAAAAACAATTATAAGAAAAGTATACAACTAGTTACTTATACAACTTTAGTTATTGCCTAATTTATGTAGTTTGCTTAAAGATTTTATATTAGCTGTCATATCTAAAACTTACTTATGAATTCTTTATTTAAACATTCTGGTTTTTGTATCCACTCATCTATCTACTTTACCAACTGTTTCAGTTTTTAACAATACAAATATATTATAATTATTAAGTTTTTAAATAGTTCACTTATATAAGAATTCTTTAATTTTATACTAAATTCATCAAAGTAAAGACTTGCAAATTGTCTATTTTTGAGGCCTAGTCTGGCTTATATTTAGAATTAAAAATTTTTTTAGCCTATTGAGATGATGATTTAAACATCTGGATATAACTTAGTGAGTTAACACAGATTACAAGTTTAGAGAATTTAAAGTAAAATACTCAAGCAATAGTATTAAATATGATAATTAGTAGAGAATCTTCAAACAGACTTTTTAAATAGGTAATATAAAAAAGTTATATGTGTAGCCAATTGTACTCTCTTCTGTAGTAGTTCATAGAATTACATTATCAATAAGTCATTAAGGGTAGGGGTGATGTAGATCATTTGTCATATGATTTTCCTAGCAAATAAAATTTTATATATAAAAAAAATAT